TGTTTCAAATACTAATGAGTCCTTTGAAGATGATCTTATGGTATCTGAACAAAACGGATCTGAAGAACACAAAATCTGTGAGGAGTCTGAAGTTTCCATTCCGAGAAGATCCGAAAGATTGTGGTCAAGACCACCACTGGACTACAAACATCCACACGCTCATTCAAGGTGTGACGGATGTGATGAACATGACTGATGCTCTATTCGTTGCTCTATTCATTATTCTCTTGTTTTAATATTCCATATGCTGTACATATTCGCCAATTCGAATATATACGTGCTGGTTGTTACGCTTCGCTGAAGTCTGGATTTCTAGTTCGTCTAGTTATAGCGGTATACGTACGAAACTCAATTCTCACATATGCACAGCTAAAAATGTCACAGGGAGTTATTGTGACGTTCAGCAGTTCACATAAACACAGAGATACATTTCCACTGGTTCAGCAATCAGGAAACAGTTCAATGGAGCGTAAATCCACTGATTCAGCAAGAAATCAGAAATTCGCGTCAAATACTTGTGCGTTGCTCATTTTTTCTTTGATGTGGTTATTGGTATAATAAATTAAGCGTCATGATAAGATATGTACAAAAGTTACAAAATACAGTTTAATTTCAGTAAATATTGTTAATAAATGTGACAACGGATTAAAGACACTACAAAGTTTCTTTCGCTGGAGATAACCAGGCCGAGCAGGGATGGTAGTTGGACTGCGCGGCAGCTGACGGGTGCGACGAGAGGAGCAAAACCTCCTTCAGTATGCTGCAAAACCTCAGTATGCTGTCAATGCGGCGAATGGCATTTTGTGCGATTGTGTCCATACAAAACGCACAAATGTTCAGTGTGCAATCGACCGACGCACAAGGAAAGCGAGTGTCGGACGCGGAAAGCTAGTCAGAGAAGCAGTCACACCTGGAGGTTACGAAGTAAACGGTGCCAATCAGAACCGGAAGTCCGTGCTGTGGTGTTTGAGACCATGAACCAACTACCCGTGACTTTTGATGCGGTGCGAGATGCCACCGAAAATGACGGCATATTACATTACAAAAGGGAGTACCACCAATCAAGCTGGCCAACAACCAGTCCACCAGGGGAAATCCGGAAACTTTTTAAGCGACGGAGTTCATTATCTTATCTCAATGGCTGTCTTCTCTTTGGTGACCGAATTGTCATTCCCACCGAACTTCGTCAACGGATCCTAGCACAGTTCCACATTGCACATCCAGGGACAAGCCGAATGAAAGCTCCTGCTCGCAGCTATGTCTACTGGCCCGGTATAGATGAGCACATTGAGCAGTTATGTCGGAGTTGTTTCCGTTGCGCAGCTGCCCAGAAGTTACCCAACCGAAAGTCACCTCAGTCTTGGCCATAGCCAGAAAAACTATGGTCGCCCATCCATGTGGACTTTGCGGGACCAATTAACGGACAAAGCTTCCTCATCGTTACCCATGCATTCAGTAAGTGGCCTGAGGTCTTTATTATGTCGGAGACAACAACAGTGGCAACCATCACTAAACTGCGACATTTGTTTTCAATATTCGGTATCCCGGAAACTATTGTGTCTGACAGTGGTACTCAGTTTACATCCCATCAGTTTAGCGAGTTCGTTCGAAGACACGGCATCACACATGTCACTTCCCCACCATTCCATCCCCAATACAACGGTTAAGCTGAACGGTTCGTTGACACGTTTAGACGTGCGTTGACAAAAGCAGAAGGAGAGGGGACCACGACAGAAGTGCTGGATAGGTTGCTGCTGAACTATAGAGCAACCCCTAATCCACAGTCTCCGGACGGTCGAGCTCCAGCAAAGGTTATGATGAACAGACGGTTGAGGCTTACCCATGACGCTATCCTACCAACACGTACTTGCTTTCAATCACCGACAGGAGGAAAACCAACATTCCGGCCTGGCAACCATGTGCTTGTGAGGGACTATCGCCCCGGGCACCGAAGATGGACTGTTGGAGTCGTCCTCGGAAGAATCGGTCAGGTGATTTACAGCGTCCAAGTGGGATCATTGATATGGAAACAACATGTCAATCAATTACGGCCGACTCAGTCCCAGATCCCAAAGGCGGAGGAACAGCTACTGAACCTCAACTTACTGCTTGAATCCTTTGACCTCCCAAGACCAGCACCTATAGCCACTGCTTCGCATGTACCGCTCAAGACGGATCCATTGCTGCAACCAAGACGCCGTACTGGTCGCATCAGAAAAGGGTGGAACCCCTACAACTTGATCCGCGACGAAAATCTTACGCTGAACAGTCAAAAGGAGGAGGTATCAGGAAGGTCACATTCCTGAAATCAACTTCTGAACGTCCGGAACCTACTGTTCC